CGGTGACGGGGCAGAAAGCTTACGGGGCGATCCCCGCGAAGTAGATTTCTCGAAACTTGACGAGGTACGGGGCGATGACGAGGCAGGAAGTCTGTGAGGCGATCCTCGCGAGGGAGTTAAAGATAGTCCATCGCCCACCTCTGATGTACGCCGATAAAAAATTTTCGGCGGCGGCGAATGAAACTTTTACCATGGGCGGCGGCGTGTAAATATTAGTTATCGGCGGCGAATCTCATAATTTAAGTAAAACAACGTTTTCTTTCATTTCTGGCACGTTCTTCGCGCCCTGACTGTATCTGTACGTTGCAGCGCCGCCTGACTATATCTAGCGTGCAGCGCGTTTCCATCTTTTCGTATACGGGAAAAGACAGAAACGCGCTGCACGCTAGATGCCTAAGGTAAGAACGTACTAACAAAAATAGTCAAAATTTTCGGAAAAAAATTTTCTCCGCCCTCAGCGGCGACAAAAGTTCAACGACATGGCGTCGGCGGCGGAAGTCAGAACAGTTTTTCTCCGCTGTCAGCGGCGGCAGCGAAAGTCGCAATAATTTTTCTCCGACTTCAGCGGCGGCCGTGCACATCTCTGCCTACGACGAGAAATCACGGTACACAAACCGATTACGGATTTCGTTACTACATACGAAATAAAGAGTCTTTGCTTACTCAATTATGTTACGCGATTTCAAAGAATATCTTTACAGAACCAGCACGTCTTCAGCTATCTATTGATAACAAAATATTTCTATTTCGGCACCGAATTCAATAAGTAAGAGCGACATGTTCTCCATCACGTCAGTCCGTAGTAACAACACTCCAGTATAGTCGGGTCGCCATCGTTAGCCCCACGCGAAAATAACATTCAAACACATCAAAATGTTCCTCAAACGCTACTCTATGTATTCTAAAATCGCAAAATTTCGCATATTTTCTAAGGAGGTTTTATGGATTTTCCAAAATTCCAAGGGGTTTTCGCGTACACACAGAAGCAAATTCTCATTAACTCAAACTTTTTATTTCAATTGAATTTATTTTAATTTTTCTTTTGTCGGCACGATGAAACGCTTTTTATTTCTTCTCAGAAACTTTTTTTCTTCGTTTCCCGAATTTCCAAATCTTTCCCTGTTTTGTTTTCTGTGGTCGCACCAAAGATGGCGACGGCCGGACTGCTTTCTTTGCCAGCTGTTTCTTTTGTCGGATCCCGTCGAATTTGTTACAAAATTTTTCAAACCCGGAAGGAGTGCTATATCATATGAGACGCAAAACACATATAAGCAACTTCAAAACAAAAAATACCCTCATTTCCTAGCGTATTCCCTTTAAATTTGCAGCCCGATTTTTGACAGATACAGTAACTGCTGTCAGCTATACTTTGACACTGCCTTTTATCTAATGTCACTCGCGGAGCACGGACAACAAACCACAGAACACTTTTCGGAAAGTCCTTCATGTATGAGCCGTTTTTGGTTCTATGGGATCAGAAATATAACCTAGAAAAGCAAAAAAGGTGTTCTAAGATACGGAAATTGGTTCTTATCCGTAACAAATGCTGATACTCCTTTTTTAGTTTTTTAGGATATCTTTCTTTTTAGAGTGCAGTTGCTATATGAGTGCTGACTCATAGAAATCTGTAGTAAAAAGTTTTTTCATGTTCTTTTGAGTAAAGTTCTAAAGAGAGATTTTAGATTCATCGATCATATTCACCTGCCTTAATTGGGTTTTACATAATCAACATTATTGTAAGTCATACTAAAACTATGAGCGATTTTTTAGCAAGCACGAAAAAAAAGCTTTTTAATGACTATAGGTACCTTGTTTTTACGTCATTAATGTTCATGCCTAACCATTCCGAGTATTGTAATTACGACCGTAAAATGACTCCTACAATTGAGTCAGCCGATGGTCATTTTACAGTCGTAATTATATCGTTCGAATGAGATAAAAATAACTAATTTATGTGAATGAGGTGAAAATGATGCATTTATGATCATCAAAAACGAGTCTTTACTGACTATCCAATTAATGATCTAAAAAAGGCTCATTAATGTCTGAAAGATGACACAAAAATGATCATTATAGATTGATTATAAAATGATCATTTTTACTTAGCAAAAAAACGACCGATTAACGATACCATTTATGGGATAAAAATGATGTAAAAGTGACCATTAACGACCAAAAAATAGCGAATTAATTGGCAGTCAATGACTCAAGAATGAGCCACAAACGATCAATTCTGATCTCGTTTTCATTGTCCTAGGAGGATTCTAGCCGTGCTACTCTCATTTAAATCATTATTTGGATTATCTTGGAGGCACACATTCATGTCGTGCTTAATAGCCAATGGACTGTTGTTATGGTCTGATGAAAAAAGTTTTAAAAAATGTTTGTTTAAGACAAACATAAAAGTCTCGCTACAAAATTATTGCGCAATGGCCGTTGCAGAGTTTCAAATAAACGTCCAGATTGGAACTGTAAACTAAAGTGGAAGTTAAATGTGTGTTAGACTTAGAAGTTTTTGAAAGTTCATAATAACATTAGTTGTCCGGAGCCATTTGTTTTTCAGAAGAATAAAAATGATAGAAGATAATTTTACGAGGAAAGATTCTCAAGTGTGCAATCGCTTTTTGCTTGAACACTAGTGAACAATAGGTAATTGACTGCGCTAAATCCGAATCTGACATCGCTTTGTGCTGCTAGGCCTCTATCGTACAGATTTGTCCCGAAGAAGACAGAGAAACCTTCTGAAAAGTCAAGAAGCTTTGAATGCTCATTATAGAAGTTTTGCTGTGTATGTAGACGAGCATTCTGTTTAACCTAAATTTTTTGTAAATCAAAATCTTTATTAGTAAAATGAGGCAGTCCAAAGTTGTTATTTTTTCTCTTAGGATTCGTTAACTCATCAAACTTTGTTCACCCGTAAGCTGGTTTATATTTTTACTTATTTTGAAAGTTTCAACGGAATCATTTATAGTTTATCACGAGTTACAGAATTTCAACTGGAATTTGATCGCCTCCTTTCCCCTTCAGAGAAGCTTTAGTCATGTTTCGATGAATAAAAACGACCTGGAAATAGTGACTGCAAATGCTGCCTGCCCAGGTTAATAAAAGATGGGTAAAAACCGTAGTCTGTCTGAGCCCTAGGACGCCCGTCCAAGATCTCAAACGGACTACCGAAAGTGTCACTTTTTAGATAGTCCCCAAATCGACCTTTTGGACTGTTTGAACAAGTGCTGTATTTTCATAACGGATCAATGTTCAGATACTTTTCATTTTGTAGAGTAATGTTTAATCTACTTGATTATCTAGTTGCAAATTTAGATTAGTTTGTAGCTTTATTGCAATAATTTTTGAAAATTAGCGAAAAAAGGGGAGAGTTAGCTGGACAAGCCGTTTAACAATACAAAAACAAAATGTTTTTTACCCATTTTTCGTCTATTCAAGAACATCCCAAATTATTTTTTCGAGTCCAAACCAGTTCATAATACTTGCTAAAACTTGCTGAAAAACATTTTTGAAAACCTCAGAATGCTCTAAGCTTAACTTCTCGTTTGAAAAATAGGTGGATTCCGTAAGTTTTGCAAACGTAATAGTTACGTTAATTCTAACGAGGGAACCTCCCGGGGTGATAAATCGCTTTTTGATCGACATCTAGTGGGTTATAGGTTATCGACCATGCTGATTACGAATATGACCATGGGACTTCCCCATAGCTCTTCGAAGACCCAGTCTTCTGGAAAACCAGTTTTTCAGAAACCCCAAAAAATAATACAAGCCTTTCTTAATAATGCAGGATTGTAGCCCGCGAATTTTTGATTAAAATGAAACGTCCCCCAGCTCTACACGACCTTTCTTTGCAAAGTTATAGAATTTATAAGAAGAGCCAATTTATAAGAGAAATTTGCGCGCTACAATCCTGAATTGTTAAGAAAGGCTTGGGTTATCTTTTGGGGTTTCTGAAAAAGTGGTTTTCCAAAAAACTGGATCTTCGAAGAGCTATTGGGAAGTCCCATGGCCATATTCGGAATCAGCATGGTCGATAACCTACAACCCACTAAATGTCGATGAAAAAGCGATTTATCACCTCGGGAGGTTCCCTCGTAAGCGAGTAAAACCGAGTATATTCTAAAGTTTTAAGTGATTTGAACAAAGGACAGGGGATTGTCCCCCTTTCAAAATTTTCTTCTATGTAGAATATATAACTGATCTATAAGGAACCGTTTTCCGTTTGAATCCACCTTACAGATAAAGAACTGTCTAAAGTATAGTCATTTTAAATTTTCAGGCAATGTGACGATAGATAGATCAGTATTCCAATCTTTCTCTGCACTCAGGAACAACTTCTGATAATGGTTTATATATAGAATGATAGATATTGAAGAGACCTGCTGATGGGTATAACACACTAAAAAATAAATCGGAATTCTGCCCGTAATTCGTAGTTTTCTCCATTAAACTCACCTTTTACACATTAAAAATACAGTGTGCTGTTACTCGACGTTGTTTCGCATTCTAGTCGTGAGAGCGAAACGTGAAGCATTGCAGCTGTAAGGTAAAAAGCTTAATGAATTTTGATATGGTTTTTGTATGAATTGATAACTGAGACTCATCTGTCTATCTGTTCAACAGCAGATTTTTCTGTTCTAAAATTGTTTTATTAAAAATATCCCTCCCCCCCCAAAAAAAGAATCCTATCTCGCGTACGAATAATCGAATAGATGACGATCAAATATGAAAGACAGAAAAAGATGGTTACACCACAAAAAAGAAAACGTAACTAAATCTGCAGAGTGCACCATTAAACAAACAAAAAACAAAAATTTGATCGTTTAAAAAAAACAAATGCTTGGCTAAAAGAAGAAATATTCTAAAAGTGTCTATGCTAATTGATCTAAATCAAACTCTGCCTCCAACATCGTTGACATTGACCAGGCTTGTACAGTGCATGAGTGAGGACAATATGAGCCATTTTCGTTCGTTAATTGTGCTAAACCGTTCCATTCGGAATTCGAAAGATATTCTAAAATGAGTAGAAGAAAAATACATTGGTAGTTTGAATTAATGCCTTTTTGATGAGAAAGAAAGCTTTATTGACGAGCGATAAAGCAATAAAATCAAAAAAAGAGACAAACTTCTCTCTGTATTTTGAACCCATACGAATATTGCAAGACAAATTCCACATCTTGCAGATCAAATGGTTAAGACACTTTTGCGCAACCGGCACAGGGAGACCAGAGCCACAGGAAGAAGAATTGCTAGAATTTCGGCTCAGAACTGCTTGAAATTTAGTCTTTGGGAAAAAAAATGCTAGAAAACTGCTTTTAAATCTTTTTTTTTCAACTCAAGCATTTTTGAATCAAATGATACTTCTTCGGACACTCTCTATACGCCTTTCCATACCACGTTTAGTCTTGCGTACTGTCCAAAGAAGCAACCTCTGTATTAGACGACGCAATTCATTTGGCAACCGGGTTCTTTTACTAATGGGTCTGCTGTTTGTTCTTTTCTTAGTCCAAAAAAATTACTAAAGAAAACATTAAGAATGTAAGATGCAGTCAGCGAAGAAAATCCTTTGTACAGAACTATGGATTTTCCGTTAGAGCTTTAAGATTAGGAAATAGAGCGATAGAATGAGAAAGATCGAGTTTTAAAACAGTCGCGGAAAAAGACGAAAAACCAGTGCACACTTAGAGCCGAATTTGTTTTAGTGGACATACTATAAACCCTAAAATGTTTCTTTGTTCATCTGGACAAAAAACTAAAGCATCCTGGCAGTAAGGGGATACCTCCTATATCCTGATCGGGATATAGCTATATCACGATCAGGATATAGAAAACAATCAATATCCCGATCGGGATATAAAACACATAATTTCGTCGTAAAAACGATTAAGGGAAAAATGGCGTCGTTCTGGGAAAAATTGATGTCACCATTAGAAAGAGCTCGAAAAACTACATCGGATTCTGTTGTGTTTGATCCAAAGTACATCAAGCACTCAGCAACTATTTTTTCGAACAAAAACCTTTAACAAATTTTAGTCGAATTTATATCCCGATAGGGCAATAGGCGGCTAATCTTTTATTGCTCATATACTCTTAATCTAATCGCTTTCCACATCAGCCTTAATCTATACGCTTCCACCGTATATCAGTCGTGAAGCCAGTATTTTTGAAGATGCCAAGAGAACATCATCATTCCAGGCGTTGCGGCATTTATACTCATGTTGCCTGGCACGACACCCCTTTCAAACTAATTAGATTGGATGAGAAACATGTTAATGTGGAAGTCAGAAATTACATTACCAAACAAATAATTTTTAACCGTAATTGTTCGTTTTTATGTCACCTGTGTATAAATCAAATAGATATAATCAATGAAATATGGTCATCACCTCCAGAACACACAAATTTTTGATATCCCGAACGGGATATAGTTACATACTATATCCCGTTCGGGATATCAAAAAAACATTTTTGCTGTAAAAAATGATATTCCGATCGGGATATGTCTCCACACTGCCTGGGTATTTCAAAAATTAAACAAAAAGGTTTATTTTGCCTTTTTTACCGAGATGCAAGCGACGAGCTTACGTTTTGGCTCACGTAATACGCAGACACACACAAGCTAGGAAGGCTCTTATTTTTGCTTTATCGATTCGACCAAAACCTTTTTACGATGAAGCAGGATTTGTAAAATCTTACCTAAGTGATTTAATAGGATTTCTCTGACGTGACGAATTGTTTGTGCCAAAACACCTCGTGTTTCTGGTTCTCTGTCCATTTGTTGTGCCCAGTAGAGTTTAGCCCTCAAATAAAATCCCATGAGCCAAAGCCATTCGGGGCCGTTGTGATAATTTTGACCTTTCGCCCGTTTAAAATCCCATCCATCATCGTCGGTATGGCAATCACCCACATAGTTCGAGTCAGAGGGATCCAAAGTCTTAATACCATATTTACCGACTAAAATGTGTTCGACTTGTGAAAGAGCTTTCCAGATGTGGTGTTTGTTGAACAGTTCGGGAGCCTGAAAAAACACAATAAGATAAGATTTTTAACAGAAAAGGCCTCTCAGAAAAAACTATTTTGTCTCACTTCCGATTTTGATGCCACTGTCAGCAAATGTTTGCCATATCAAAGAGTGGCCATGAAATTTTTTTCCTCGCTATCTCTTACCGTTTCGGGGTTTCCTAGAGGTCCTGGTTTTCAAAGCTTCTAGAAAACCTGCTTAGAAGCCATGAAAAACCAGTTCTAGGCCTAAAAGCGATACAGATTCTGAAAGCAGATACTCCAGACTATCTTTTCATGTGCTTGTCTCCAAATTAATTTTTTGATACAAAAAGATTTCATTCTGAGGGGGGACCGTTAAGGTCGTGCTTTTTCGAACGCATACAGTTGACGCTCCGAGGGTCTAAATTGTACAAGAGTGGATCCGGAACAATTTTTCTTTAGAATCCGCAGACTGGTGTCTGCGACCGAACTCCCAGAAATATTATATTGGTATAAAAATGACACAACAGGAGGAAAATCGCATTTTTTTCGAATAAGATTAAACCCGAACCCAACTGCAGACCGAAACAAATTGTTTTGCACCTGCTGTATATTATCCGAAATGCGATAATCAGGAGGACATTTGAATAAAAAGTCGCAAGTAGCCTTTTTGTAGACTAGAGGAAATAAGCTTTGATATATAGCGAATATTTAGTTATATGAGCATCTTTTTGTTCCACCTAGTAACTCTCGTTGGAGTAAGTCATGTCCGAATAAAACGAAGAAAAATGTTTTCAGTTCGACATGGAGCAAGGTAGAGATGCGTGACTTCAATATAGGGATATGTCTTCTGTCACCCAGGCCCTTCGCTCTTCGTGATGTGGAGTTCTGTGAAAATTGACATTTTGTCAGAAATCTGATTTTACATTCCAGATTTTTTTCTATTTTGACAGAGAAAACGAACAGGTTTTTTTCATAATGTCCGTTCTTGTGAAGCAAAGTGTTTTATACAAAATGAACAGTTTTTCGAATTCCAGATTTGTTGAATATATGGGCTATAAACATCGCCTGATTGCGAAATGTTCTTCGTGTTCTCTATAATCGAAGGATATTTTGCTGTCAACGCACAATTTCATTGAATTGTTATCCGATCGTAGGGCAATTACACAGAATGTTCTGTCTCAGCAGTACTGTTTTATTTTTCAAGAATGTGTTTCGTTTTGGACTTATACGAAGCTTTTAAAATCAGATACCTTGATTTCCGAGAGGCTTTTTTAACCGTGGACGAAAATTTGTATTTTGAAAAACATTTTAACGTCAGTGAGAGGATGTCGCGTACTTGTAGTCAGAGCGCGAACTTTATTCGATGAAATATTCATGGAACGTGTATTTCTTGATAGAGCGGTCGAAATACCACCGGGATAGACAGAGTTATGTAGACAAGCGTTGAATAAGGACCATAGCGACCGACTTTTTCCCATAACTATGACTTATTATGATACATATTGTAGAAAAATGAAGTTCTTACCTACTAATTCGAAAAGTTCATCCAAAAAGCAAAGGAAATTGAAGCCTTCAAACAGCACTTACCACCACAGCTGCAATGAGAAAATTAGGCCTCAGCTGATAATCCGACCATCTGAACGTTGAGCCGACCGTATCCTTGTAAATATTTCTCCGATTAACAAATAATTCTTGTGATTTTTCGTCAACCCAAAACTTTTGTTCAAAATTCTGATCAATTTTCTTCATCCATTCTGCGAATGTGATTTTGTCACCAATACAATCATACGGATAATGTCCTGATTTATTCATTTCCAGTAACCATTTGAGGACGGCACGATTCAGACCAACAAGCTCCACGGCAGCTCCATCACGTGGCGAACCGGGGAAACCCCTGTTTCCAGCTTTTTCCGATGAACCCATCTTGTCCATCCACGTACCACAATTCCATTCATTACCACCATAGACGAAACATAAAAAAGAAAAGCATAACAAGTAGAGATAAAGAAACTCTGGGTGGTAATTAATTAATTAATTTAATAATATTAAAATTATATTATTATTAAATTTTCTCCCTTACAAATGGTTTTGAAAAATTAGAAATTAAATTCATTTAGGTAACTACATGTGCTCTATATAACCATGTATAAATGGAGAAATCATTTATCTACTGAAATTCTGAAATACAGTCACCTTGTCACTGTGAGGATTCGATTTCATAGAACCAAGAATTGTAGAGATTAATACAGCAGCTAATTTGAATCGCATTCTATTGACCAGTACGTTTTATTAATTTCGACGTTTCGACAATATATTTGTCGTTATCAAGAAAAACATGTACTAACAGAGATATTAACGCAAGAAAAATTGGATATAAACTCTCACGCATACACATATATATACCAGGCATTGTTACGAAATATCTAGATAGATAAAATATTTTTTATAGAAGTAAAACCAGGGAGAGAGATTGTACAGCTAGACAGATAGAAAAACAGATTGAAAATATATGACAGATTGTGTATGTGTGAGAGTTCATATATCTAATTTTTCTTGCGTTAATATCTCTGTGAGTACATGTTTTTCTTGATAACGACAAATATATTGTCGAAACGTCGAAATTAATAAAAAGTACTGATCAATAGAATGCGATTCAAATTAGCTGCTGTATTAATCTCTACAATTCTAAATTTATTGCTCTTAAATCGTAAAAATGTTTCTAAAACCAAGTCATAGATAATAAAACGTATAATAAAACACAAAAAGATCGTTCTGAGGAAAATAATTTTTTTCTACTGAAAGTTAATAGAAAAATGGCAGCATTTGTCAGAGTGCCCAGACTCTCACTAGGCGTAGACCCGTTAAAAAATGATGTTAGAACTTCCACGAAAACTGTTATAAATCGCTTATAAAGAATTACTCAGAGATTGTAGAGAAATGTTTGCTCTAAAAAACTCAGCTGTGAAAAAGAATTTGAAGTTAACCCCCCCCATAATAGAAGCCTCCGGGGCTTCTAAACTGTCCAAGTGTTCAAAATTTTTAGGGGGGGCTTGTATTATGAAGGGGCTACTATTACGACTTTCGTA